TTAACCCTTCCTTTTTTTCAACCCTCAAACCCTGCTTCGGAACCGTCTGCGGGAACCTTGTTTCGCCAACCCTGAGAAATCCTGTCTTTTCTACCGCTCACCTTGTTTTTTCACCCTCTGCCTTGTTTTTTTCTCCCTCCGCCTTGCTTTTTTCACCCGCGAGCTTGCTTGTTTCACCCCGCATCCTTGTTTTTCTCACCCTAAACCTAAAACAACCTAAGCCCGCCAACCAGCCAAACACGCCCAAACCCACCCCAAACCCACCCCACAGTAAATCGCGCTAAACAAGCCTTAAGCAAAAAAAGAACATCCAACCCTAAATATTTCAAACCCCTACACCACCACTGACCTACTCGAAACCACCCTGTACCAACCATGAATCCACCCTGATCCAACTCTAAGCGCACCCTGAGACTGTAAGCTGAGCTTCAACCCTAAACCCAGTGAGGCCAACCCTAGGCCAAATCCACATCCAAGCCTACACCAACCGCAAACCCCGCCCCAAACCATCCCAGACCAACCCTGAACCAATCTACATCCAAGCCAAAACAATCGAACAACACCCTTAAAAACCCGAGGCCCACCTGAAATCAAGCCACCCCAAACTAACGCTAAGCCACCCTTGAGCGACCCCAAGCCTTTACATAGACAAACCGCAAACCCGCCCTGAACCGACCCTTCCCCAACCCTCAGCTTACCCTACAGCCACCACAAGACCTACTTTAGACCACCTCAACCAAACACAAACCCACTAAGACCCGCCTCAAACTAGATCCAGATTGACCCAAAAGTTTTTGAACAGAAGCCCAAATCCTAAATCCATCCCTACACCAACCCTAAACCAACCTCATAAACCCACTGTAGACCCATTCTCCAAGCCAAAAACCCACCCTCATCCACCACACCTGCTCGAAACCAACCTTAAACTTAAACCGACCACAACTTGCCCTTCCAAACCAACCCTAAACCCACCCTCAACACACCCTACCCCGCATCTAAACCCTTCCTACACAAACCTAATCCTTCTCCTAAATCTGAAGTTGCCCGACCTAAGCCGACCCTAACACAAAACCGTAAATCCACCCTTCCCATCCGAAACCAGCCCTAAGCCCACCACCCTAAACCAACCCTAAATCCAAAACCACTCCGACACCAACCCAACCCTAAACCGTTGCTTAGTGCAGTTGCCTTGGCCACAGGGTTAGCAAAAAAGAAATGGAGGGTCGAATGGAAGAGGTGGAGGGTCAGAAAGAAAGGGGGAGGGTTAAGAAAGACGGGGGGAGGTTTAAAAAAGACGGGGGGAGGGTTAAATTGAAAGGGTGAAGGGTTTTAAAAAAACAGGGAAGGGTTTTTTAAAAAAAAACAGCTTCGGAGGGTGAGAAAAAGGGGTTCCCCGATGCTGAGGGTGTAAGATGCTGAGGGTGTAAGATGCTGAGGATGTTGGCCAAGAGCACCCCTGAAAACACGCCTTTTCCTGAGAGGGGATGCTGAGGGTGTGGCGGGGGATGCTGAGGATGTTGGCCCGGCTTTTCGTTTATTGTAAAGAGCACCCCTGAGAGAGGGCAGAGGATGTTGGCCCGGCTTTTCGTTTATTGTCTGGCACCCCTGAAAACACGCCTTTCCTTGAAGGATGCTGAGGATGTGTCCGAACACGCCTTTCCCGGACACGGCGTGCTGAGGATGCGGCAGGCGGATGCTGAGGATGTTGGCCCGCCTGCTCCTTCATTGAAAGGCGTGTAGCGCAGTTTCCGGCATTTTTTTGTGGTTCCAGGCCCCCGGCAATGTTTCCCAGTCTCGCCATAGTTCTGCCGCAGCCCCCGGCTGCTGTAGTCTTGCCACAGTTCCCGGCAAGCGCCGGGCCCCGCCAATTCCGGCAATTCCTTCTGCAATTAGTCTGGCAGCAGTTCCACAGTGGCCCTTCCCGAGTCCCGCAGGTCCCACAATTCCCAACAATTCTTCCCCTGTCTGACAAGAGCCTTGCCAGTGTGTTGCCGCAGACGCAGCAGCCTTCCCAGGTTCTTCTCGTCGTCTGCGCGCCGTCTTCCCATTGCCGTAGTGACGGATGCCTTTCCTGCATGCTTTTGTTGGGGTTGTCTTGCTGAAAGCCTTCAACCAGCTGGAACACCTTGTTGTCCACTGCCAGAACACTCACCTGCCCATTCAGAGTGGCAGGCCCCGCGCTCCTCGCCTGCTCACCTCCTCCTCCTTGGTTACCAAGCACGCCAGCTTTGGCCAGGGACACGGCGCGTTGATTATTTGCGGAACGTTTGTGTGCGTGTGTGCGCGTATGGCCCCTTATTTGGCTGAAGCACGTCCTGATGGCTTAAGACAACACAAAGCAGCTTCCTATAGGCTGGGAAGCAAAACGAATCACCCACACCGTTGCCCGTGCTTCCAGGCCGGGCCCTTCCACAATCGCCCTCTTCTTCCTTATTGTGTTGCGACGTGGCTACGGATCGTAGAGGCCATGCAGGCAGCCACGGCGGGAGCTCGGCGTCGCGCTATTGGTGTTGCAAGTCAGCTAGCGGATAGAGGTGGCGCTTGCTGAAGGGTGGCCATCAATCAAGGCAATCTCTGCCGCGCCCCAAGAATGCATCTGCTGCTGGGAGGCTTACACACGCAGAGGTTCAACACTGCTAAGATTCGTGGCCTTGCGGCGCCTGGCCGAAAGTATGGCGCTGGTCCGGGTTCGTCAAAAATGACAGTTCCAACGTTGGGCTGGGGCAGACCCTGGCCAGAACTTAAAAGACATCAAAAGATTGCGCCAGCCGCCAGAGAGCAAGTCTGTGTCTCCACTGCAGCTGGCGCCCGCCTTTTTCTGTCGCGATGGTGAGACAAGCGACTCCTACCTCGATGCAATCCTCGCGGACTTGGCCGCCCTGCAGCTTTCCGGCGGCGGGGGCGCTGTTAACTAGCCCGATAGAAATTGCCCAAACTAAACACCATGCACAATCCCTGCAAGCTTGCGAGCGAAAAATCCGCAAAGTGAAGTTTCGACACTCCCCAGAAGTTTCCGCGCAGGAAATCTGCAAGTTAGAGCCCAACAATTTCTGCAAGCTAAAGCACAGCCCGACAATTCCCAGGAGCGGCCACGGAGAAAAATCCCAGCTAATCCCTACCAGAGATGCCAACAACCTTGCAAGTTCACAGACGATTGACATGCTGCAAACTCTGACGCAGGAATCGCTGCAGACTAACGCACGGGAAATTCCGCAAGCTTCCGCCAAATATCTGCAAACTCAGAGCCTGCCAAACCTTGCAAGCCAACGCACAAGAAGTTCCACAAGTTCATCCTCTCAGGCAGCTCCTGAAGCTACATAGACCAAAAGAACATGTTTCAATAAAAATCAGCATCGCTGTGAGTGAGTGCCTAAGAATTTTCACACTTCTATATAAGAACACGGTAGCATGGCAACATCGCAAGTTAGACGCCACTAGCCCCACCTTGCCAATTTGCGCAAGGGATCGCGGGGGTGACAAGGTGACAAGGGGAGTCATTCAAAGCACGCAAATCTCAAATAAAAACTGCATGTGGGACAGAAGAGCGTGAATGCCGCAGAAGAGGCGAACGCGAATCACGCGACGCACCCTTCCAAATTTTCAATTTGGGGAGGGGGTTTTGAAGGAGCCAAGGATAACGGGGTCCGTAAAAGTTGCACGAATAAAAATGCTGCAATTTATTGGTGGGTCGCACAGCCGCACTGCGCTGGTAGAACACCGAAAAACGCAGCGAGAAAAGACAACTTGACCTGAACAACGCGGCCCAAAAGGATGCCTGGTCAAAACATTTTCACCATCTCAATTCCGGAGAACTGGCACGATATTCTGAATCAGTTGCGTCATTACCCACAGAGTTGTAATCCTCAAGATTTTCCCACCATGGAACTCGCAGCACAATGCCTTGGCACAAGCGCCGCGCGTGCAAACGCAACTCATTTGTGTGGCCACAGCAGCAGTCGCTGGGACGATAGTTATGTTGACAAAGCAAAACCCTAGACGCAAAGCAAAACCCCGGATAGCCGGAATCATAAATTATGCTGCCTTGACCAACAAAATATTGAAGACGTATGCAACAGACTCGCAACTGTGGCCGGCAATGTCCTCCGCCGCTTGCTAAGCTGCCTCCTGCAGGCGGCAAATCAGGGGCGGCAAGGTTTCATACGGCTTCGAAAAAATGGAAGCAACTTGCTCAGACTCGCTGGGCTATCAAGCGGAGAAAACACTTCTCGCCAACCGACATCATGACGCAATCTCACTTCAAATCGCCAGCACGCAGAGTGTCGTCCATTGGGGGACTTAATTCAACTTGCCTTGCCGACTGTCTCATTGCCTTGCAGGAAGCTGGCTTCCAGGCTTCCAGCCAGCTTCCTTCCACTTGGCAGGGTTTGGGTCAACCAGCTGGCCCGCCGCACAAACAAGCTGCAGCTATGGGGCTGGGCACACATTTGCAGTCATGCGGAGTCGTTAAGCACTTGTAGATCAAAGCCGGCCGGCGTCCCATTCGAGAGATCGGGCCCATCACTTTCAGCGGAATCGCGTGCCCTCCAAATTGCAAAGCTCCCGAGTACAAACGCAATCTGAAATGATTTGTGGATTATTTGTGGACACGCAGCGATTGAACAGGACAGTCCACATCATGATGGTTGGCAAGAGGGCGAAAGCTCGCAGCCTGCTTGTTTTTCCAGAGACATGCGGGTGGGTGGGTTGGGTTGGGTTGGGTTGGGTTGGGTTGGGTTGGGTTGGGTTGGGTTGGGTGGGTGGGTGGGTGGGTGGGTAAACTGACTGGCCGATTGGTTGACTGAGCAGGCTTGAACCACCTCGTCAATGTTCTAATCCAGCAGTGTCGTTGAACTTTGCTGTAAACTGGCATCGTTGAGGTTTAGAAGCTTCTGCAAGAAGCTTACAATGCACTGCCTTCCATTCTTGGGGGGTCATGTCAAGGTTAGTTTCGCATTCTGCGTTTTTCTTGTGCGGTAACAGTTGGATCCGGCCTTGGAAAGGACTCGCGATTTGATCCCCAGCGCGGAGATCCACAATTTGTATGGGCCCACAGAAGCGGCGATTGACGTGACCTTTTGGCAGTGCCACGAGGCAGAGCCTGTGTGCATTGGCCGTCCTATTTCCAACGTCCAAGTCTTCATTCTGAACCACGGGCAGCTGTGCCCTCCGGGCGTGACTGGGGAGCTGTGCTTAGCTGGGGTGAATTTGGCGATGGGCTACCTCAACGACCAAGAACTCACGGAGCAGGCAGGGGAATTCAGAAATGGAAGCTGCGTTTGATGTTTTTAGGGTTCGTGGGTGCGCGGCCAGCTGAGGTCTTTGTCAACAATGTCCCCAATTTGCTGCGGACGATGGGAGTCCAGCGCTACTACAGAACAGGCGACCTTGCCAGGCTCAACTGCCAAGGGTGCCTGGAATATCTGGGCCGGGCAAGTCGAAGCCAGGCACGTGACCAAGATACTGTACTGTCTTCCGAGTGTGTGCACCTTGTTGACCCCGTGGATCCGTCCTGTTGCGAACAGGTCAAAAACAGGTTCATTTTGGTGAAGAGCCTCCCACGTTCACGCGCAGGTGAAGATAAACGGGCAGCGAGTGGAACTGGGCGAAATCGAGAGTTGTCTCCGCAGCTGCGCCTTTGTGGGCGCTGCCTCTGTCCAGTGGCAGGATTTCGCTGCCTAATCGCGGTTTAAGAAAGCTCCAAAAGAAGTAGTGATTGCTTGCAGTGCGCGTAGGTACGCCGCTTGCCTTGATGCAACTTCGCATTTGTTTCTCTCCAGGATGGTAAATTGGCCGCCTATGTGGAGCCACTGCCCCACTTGAAGCACCTCGTGTCTGCGCAGCCTGAGAGGGAGAAAGCGCGGCGGGTGATCGAGACTTTGCATGAAAGGCCGTTGCCGGAGGGTTTTGACCCGAAGAAGTGCTTGCAGCTGGGCAGGGTTGCGCTTGGTCCACATCCAGGCGCAAAGATGGGCAGAAGCGACCCATTGTCCAGGCATAGGAGTCCTCCCTGCCCAAAGTTGAGAGAGAGGGGGGTGAAGGGAAGCCAGCCTCCCGAAAATTGCATGGAAACCAAACGCAGCAGAAACCTTTGCTTTTGGGCGCCTCCGCTTTGCTTTTGAGGTGCTGTGGATGAGGCGCAGCATTGGAGCCGGCGCAGCAGCCGTCGATTCGGCCAGGGCCCGACGGAGCTGCAGAAGATGCTTGCCGTGATCGGGCAGGAAGGTGGGGGACGCACAATTTTCAGGCAGCCAGCCAGGCTCAAGGCATCTCCATCTTGCGGAGCTCTAGCCCGTTATGGCTCAAAGCTTGGAATCCTTTGTTTACAATTCACATGCGCTTAAGATTCGAAACTCTTGGTTCTTGCTTATCAGAGAACACACCAACACGTACTCAACAAGCACGGCCAGCGGTGTTCAACTTGCGAGCAACAGATCCGGATCAAGGATGCATTTGTTTGCAACGTGTTGTTTTTTGGGCAGTTGTGAGCTTGTTTGAGCCGGTGCATCTTCTCTTGGGAAGAGTCCAGACTCCCTACAGTTTATTATTAAGCGTTGTTGAAAGGTCATCCTTGTGTTACTGCCATCAGTCGTCCCTTTTGTTTCTGGCAGGCTTTGCAGAGTTTCGTGGTCCGTTCCTTCAGCTTCGATTGGAGCAAGCGGCTGCGATCCTGGCACCGCTGCTTTGGGCTCAGTTTTCTGTGTACACAGCACGCGTTGTCATTGCTTTGCGCACAACCCTTTCGAATGCATCTGGCGGCCAGAGCTTGGTATTGGCTGTTGGTGAGTCTTTCGATTGGAACAACCTATGTGTCTTGTTTCGCAGAGCCACTCACTCCTACTTCAAGGAGTTCCACTGCCAAGATATCTGCAGCCCAACACCCTCATAGGTTCCTCACGCTTGCTTGGCCTGACGCGTGTTCTGTCCTGCAGTTTCTTTGAATGGGTCCGGCGGTTAGTTAATTACTTGCTGTCCAGGTGCGCGTGATGCGCTAGACAACTACGGCCGTCAGACACGCTGCGAGGGACACACCCCACCATGCGTTAGAATGTGAAAACATGCATCTCGTGTAGTTCTTGGGGTACGGCTGATCTTGTCCCCCTGGCACATGGCGCCCGGACTTTTTGTCGCCTGTCTTGCTTCTGCCGCTCCTGCTCCTGCTCCTGCTGCTGGTGCTGCTGATTCTGCTGCTGCCGCGCATTTTGTCTCGGCTGCCCATTTGTACCAGGGTACAGTTAGGACTAGGATCCAAACCCAAGCAGCAGAAACAAGTCAAGCTGCAAGCCGGAACACCAGCAGTGGCCCCTTGGTAACTCTTAAGTTGTGTCCAAGGAGGAAACAAGCAAAGCGCACCAACCCCATGAAAGTAGACTTGGTACCCAAGACCCTTGTTTGGCGGGAGGGAGTATGCTGCAAACATCAGAAGTCGCCACTCATGGGCTTGGCCTGTAGATGTTCAGAGAGCAAGGTGATTGTGCCGTTCATGTGTTTGAGGGTTGTATTACAGTGAGAACGAGGCGAGAGGTCAGAAGACCAGACAGCATCCGTGGGAAGTACCTCTATCCCTCTGCGGGCAGCACATACTCTGTGCAAGTGTTCTTGCTCTCCGACCATGACGAGCATTTCTATGATGCGCAACGACATGCTCTCTTGCTTGGGCCGTACTCAAAAAGCTTCTCTCAGGTGTCGCACTTCAAGCTTTGCTGGCGCCCGGAGCTGGCGAAAAAGCTATATGAAGACAAGGCTGCAAGGTTTGCGGAGATTGAAGCTGGTTGCATGCTTGCTCTTATCCAGAAGGAGGCCGCCAAGTTAAACTTGGAGATGTCTGTGAGTCACACGGAGCACGAGGAGCACTTGGCCATCATCGGGTTTCGGCAAGCTCCTGCCAGAGCTGGCCAGTCTCTGAAGCCACAGCTTGATATCTATGTCTATGTGCAAAACTGCGTGGGCTCTACAGCCACGGGCCTTTACAAGTGGGATCAGGGTTTGAGGAACTTGAGAGCTGTCAACTGGGCTTTGACACATCCTTTGTGGACTGAGCAACATGCCGACGCCGCCCGCGTCATCTATGACGCTGCTTTCCTCCTCCTCTGCTTCGGGCCCTCCGGGGAGACGCTTTGTGCGGGCGCTTTGCTGCAGGAGCTGTGCCTTGTGGGCGCAGAGTGCTTGGGGCTTTGCCCGCTGGGCCGCGTAGTCTTGCCAAACTTCCCAGAGCAGCGTGAGCCTCTCATCGCACTTGCCGGCGGCGCCCTGGCCAAGTCACAGATGGAGAAACCCAAAACCTGGCTAGAGCTGCTGAGGGAGCATGTTCTTCGCTGCTTGCCGCTCCACATGCTGCCCAAGGATTGCTTTTTGCAAGACTTAAGCAAACATGTTCTAGGCTGTTTGCAAGGAGGCTGTGCCATGTGCAGGAGTTCTTCTTGGGTGACTTGCCTCTGACCGCCTCCGGTAAGTTGGACACCAAGGCTTTGTGCTCCGAGGTCGCGGATGCTCCGCTGACGGAAGAGGAGGCACGGTTGGCCAGCCTATGGCGCACATCGTTGGGTCTCGGAGACGGAGATACCGTGGACCTGTGCCGCAGCTTCATGGAGCTGGGCGGGGACTCGCGCGCCTTCAAGGCGAGAAAGTGGCATGAAAAGGTTTTGTCTTTGAGCCTGAATTTGCAGCGTTCTTGCAACACGGCAGGTGCTTCGAGCGAAGGTGAAGGAGGCATTTGGCGTCAATTTGGTTGCAGCACAGGCGCTGGGCTTTGACTTGCGGGAGATGATGCAAGCCATTCGATCAGAGGATCAAAGTATTCCGCTTTCAGATGAGCGTTTCAAGCACAAAGCGTCTGTGGGTCAGTTGGGCATCTTTCAGGCAGCCAAGTTTGAGCCACGGGCCTACCATATCTACCTGGAGTTGACCTTGTCGGGCTCCTTGGACCTTTTGAGGTTGCAGCGTGCCATTGACCAGCTTGCCAAATGCCATCCTGTTTTGAGTCTCGCCTACAGCGAGCACTATGACGCCGGAGAGATGATTTTGGTGATGGTTCCATGTCCCCTTGAGCCGCTTCAGCTGGAGGGCGACATGGGGGCGCTCATCACCACGCCCTTCGAAGCTGGGCGGCCACTCTGGCGCGCCCAGCTTCTTCGGCTGGACACCGAACATCACGTGCTCGGAGTCGTGCTTCACCACATGATTGCAGATGGGGAGTCGTTGGACATCCTGGTGGACCACCTGACAGCTGCCTACAATGGCATTGCGCTGCCAGCGCCTGGCAGCTTCGCTGACTTTGTTGCGAGGCAGTGGAGAGAGCTGGAGGAGCCAGAGGCCCAAAAAAAGCTCAAGTTCTGGGAGGCCAAATTGGAAGGTATCCAGCAGACTGAGCTTCCATTGGACGCAGAGAGGGGCTCAGAGCGCCTTGGCGGCCGGGTGAGTCGCCAACTTCTGGAGACAGACATTGCAGCAAAGCGCCGCGCCAGCCTCATCCGGAGCGCCTTTTGCCTACTGCTGCACCAGACATGCAGTCAGAAGGAAATCGTTACGGCGATGGCAGCGTCTCACAGGTACGAAGGTGAAGGAGGCCACGAGGATCTCATAGGGCTTTATGTCAACACCATCCCCTTGAGGTCCCAATGGACCAGCGATATGGACACGAGCTGCTTCATCCAGGCTGTGGAAAACTTCCGCCTTGAGTCGTTCCAATGGCAGCTGCCATTCCAATATCTCTTGCAGAATCTGCCCGAGTCTTGCATTTGCCGAGATTCCTTGGGGCAGCAGCCAATCTTCCAGACTCTCCTGATCTTGCTTGACGATCCACGCCCAGATGTTAAGCTTCATGGTTTGGAGCCCATCCCTCGTTTGGCAGCCCGGGGAGTTGACACTCGCCATGCAGACGTGGACCTTGTGCCTCAGTATGACATGGTCCTGCGGGTGGATATCCTCTCAGATGATCAGTGGCGACTGACTTTCGACTTTGATGCCAGCATTTTCAAGGCCACTACCGTTGAGCGTTTAGCAGATGACTATTGCCGGCTTCTTTTCAGCCTCGCAGAGGCCTGGGACGCGGGTCTTTCACCAATGATTGATAGAAAGCTGTTCTGATTCGCTGTGGGTTTTGCCTTTTCTTGGCCTGACACTTTAGAGAGTCCGGAGTAACTCCAAAGCTTTACTCTGGAGTCCCCCTTTAGTTGCTTGATATGTTGAATTCCATGTGCGCCAGGTCTTACTCTCGTGCCCTTTGTTCTGATGAAGAATGTCATGTGCCCAGTAGACTAGTATTATAATAGTATTGCTCGAAGTCACAACTTCGCAAATAGACTAACTCTATGGTTCAATAATATGCTTGCTCTTGGTATCGATCCAGAGTAACCTGTGTTCACATCCGTTGAAGGTCCACGTGACAGTGAGAACCATGGGGGGCACTATATTAATGTCTTATTTTTAGCAAATGGACATGCGGGACTTGCTTGAGCGCAGTTGCAAGGTTGAGCTGCCACTGGTTTTGGCAAATCCAAGACCAAAGAGTTCATTGTCCAAGCTGCTGACGTCGGCGCTTGAAGATCCCAGGTGCGTGTTTTCTCCCTTTGTTCCAGCCGAATCCTGGACGCAGCTTGCGGCCTTGTGATTTTGTTGCTTTTGATGTCGGGATGGAGTTGGAGGCTGGGGTCATGGGGCCAGGTCCATCGCCCTGGCGGCTGTTGCAGCCTCTGCCCTGGCGCCGGCTGTGTCTTTTGGCGCACTGCACACCTGGGCGCGCTGCCTGGCGCAGCGTTTGGCGGGCGAAGGCGTGGTCTCCGCAGTGCTGCGCCTGCCACGGTGTGCTGGCTTGGTGGCGGCTATTCTTGGCTGCCTCCTGGGAGGCTTGCGTCCGTGCCGGGTGTGTGGGTTGTTGGGCGCTCGGGTTTGGTGAGGAGGATAAAGTAGTCGCAGGTTGCTAGCGTTTCGAGCCTGGACAGGCATTACCTTCATCCCAACAGATGCCATGCCGCTGGCACGCGTCGCGACGGTGGTGCAAAACTGCGCTGGGCTCACTTGGCTGCTAACCAGCGTTGACACGCGCGGAGAGGCGGCGGAGCTGGACCTCCCTTGGTGTTGCGTGGAAGACTATCAAGATGGAGGCAAAGCTGCGCCAACATGTTTCACTTGGACTTGGCCAGAGTTTTGCGAAACACACACGTCGCTTTCTGAGACTTTGTAATGATCACGTTAAACTCGTGGAAGGCCTAGGTGTGCTGAAGCTCCCGGTGGATGACGATGAGAAGGTCGCCTACGTTATGCACACGTCTGGTAGTTCGGGCAAGCCCAAAGGCAGGGGCAGGTTTTATTGACCATGTGTGTTTTCTGCGCAAACTCAGCAGTCAGCGTTTCGAGACGTAGGTGTGGAGCTGAGCCGCGGAAGCCTTTGCAGCTTCCTGGAGACGATGACTGGCATGTTGGAAGGCCTAACTTTGGAGGCTCCCTTGGTTTGGCTGTCCTGCACCAGCCCCAGCTTTGACATCTTCTTGCTGGAGATTTTGGGGCCACTGCTTCTGGGCGGCACCATTGTGCTGGCGCCCGACGAGGAGCGATTGCGAGGGAGGGAGTCGTCGATTCGAATTGCCCGCAGCGGCTCCTTTACCTTGCTGCCTGCGAAGCAGAGACAATTCAATATAATTATTCACAGACAAGTCATGAATTGTTTCCGGCCAAACCAATCCAAACACTGAGAGTTTACCTGAGAGGGAAGCGCAAAGTTCCTGAGCCGGCTCGGCTTCCATTTTGCCTTTCCTCGAACTTGTGAGGTGCTCAGGGACGGACTGCTACTGCAGCAAGCGCTGTTGCAGAGCGGCGCGTCTGTGCTGCAGCTGACCCCAGGCCGCTGGAGTCTCCTTTCCATGGACTTCGAGGACTTCCAAGAGGCAATTGTGTGTAAGTTGAGGAGGCTAAGGATGCTAAGGCAGGTTGCTATGTGAGTTGCTTTGCTTTTTGCGAGGAGACCTTTTTGGCACTCTGCGGCGGTGAGCAAATGTCGCCCTTGCTAGCCAAGTCTTTCCTGGCATCCAAGGCCAAGGTCCTGAACATGTATGGCCCCACGGAGGCTACGATTTGGGCGACCTGCAAGCTCCTTGAGGGGACCTTTGCCGCGGGCCTGGAGCGGGTAATCGGCCGGCCCTTGGCCAACACAGTGGCCATGGTAGAGAACGGCGAGCTGCTCTTGGCGGGCCCCGGCGTGGCCAAGGGCTACCGGAACCTGCCAGATTTGACCGCCGAGAAGTTCCGCTCTTTCAGGGGCGTCCGAGTCTACGCCACTGGGGATGTGGTGGAGAGAATCGGCGAGGAGTGGGTCTGGCTGGGTCGCCGGGATTCTCAGGTCAAGGTCAATGGGCACCGGGTGGAGTTAGGTGAGGTGGAGTCCTGCCTGCTGCAGCACCCATGCGTTGGCGCATGCGCCGTAGTTTGTCAGAGCGAGGGTGCGCACAGCGTCCTTGTGGCTTTTGTGGAGCTCTGCGAGGCTGTCAGCGACCAGGAGCTGCGCGCTTTTTGTGAGAAGACTTTGGAGTGCTACAAAATTCCAGATTTTCGCAGATGCGCTTTGCCTTTGAACCCGAACGGCAAGATTGACCGACAAGCCCTAGTGCAGCAAGCACGGCCTCGCACGGCGGAGCGGGAAGCAAGCCATTGCAGAGCCGCCCCAGCTCGTCCGATGGCAACTGGCCTGGTGCCTGCTGCAGACGTTGAGATGAGCGTGCCACTGGCCACGCAAGCCCTGTGGAGAGTGGTGTCGGCACTGCTCGGGTCCAGTCAAATTGGTTTGGATGACGATTTCTTTGCGTTTGGGATGACATCGGCACGAGCCATCGAAGCGCAAAGAAGGCTCAAGGCTGATGGCTTCAGCCTCAGAGTCAACGACTTCTATGCTTTCAGGACAAGGGGTGGACATTGACATAGACTTGGACAAATGTTTGGGCGATTGCGTTTGGTTTTCGTGTTTTCTCAATACATCAGAAACTCAGCGAGCAAGAAGGAAGCCACCCTGCAAGCAACCCAGCGAGCAACAAGAAAGCCCGCAAGCAAACAAGCGAGCTATCTAGCTGGCAAGCAGCCTATGCTACACTCACGAGATACTAGCCCTGCGTCCAACATTCACCCCGCCCTGATTCCGCCCTCAACCCTGCGCCAATCTCATCCGAAAACTACTTCTCATTCCTGCGTCACTCGCACGAGCAAGTCCGCGCGCCGCCCCCCCACTCACACCTGTGCTACACGTGCACACAAGCAGAACGCGCACGCAACAGACCCACCACCTGTCCCAGGACCTGCAACGAGCTCGGCCCCAGGCTTTTGCCTTGCGCAACCAGCCCGGTCCCTACTCTTACGCTGGCGATCACAACTGTGCCAATTGCATCCTCAGATTGTGCGGTTCAGGGCTTGGCGATCCGTGCGGCATGGTCTGATGGTCAAGTGCAATTCTGGGACAGGCTTCTTCAAGGGGCAGACTGTGTCCGAGATTTCAGTGACAGCGAGCTGGTGCAACTGCAAAATTTAGATGGATGTGCAGAAGGCACTGTGGTGAGGAGCAAGGGGGTCATTTCCGACTTTGCCTGCTTCGATGCAGACTTGTTCAGATTATCTTTGCAGGAAGCCCAGCAGCTGAGCCCTTTGCATCGATGCTTCCTTGAGTCGGCAGTTCACGCGCTCGAGGATGCAGGCATTCAAATGCATTCTGCAGGCAAGATTGCAGTCTTTGCAGGCATGGGGGACCATGACTACCTGGCTGGAAGTTTTTCATCTGCAGAAGATTTGCGGATCGACTTGGCCAACAGTAAGGACTTTTTGGCAAGCCGGGTTTCCTACGCTTTGAACTTCTCTGGCCCATCTGTCAATGTGCAAACAGCTTGCTCTACCGGTCTGGTGGCTGTTGCCTTGGCTCGGACCAGTCTGGGTGACTGTGATGCAGCTTTGGCAGGTTCCGTGTCGCTGTCGCCCATGTCAGGGGCTCGCTGGAAGGGTGACAACCTACCCTTCTCCCCCACTGGCCGATGCCGAGCTTTCTCGGCCGATGCCGATGGCATCGTGGTGGGGCAGGGAGTGGGGTGTGTGCTGGTGCAGCCAGTTGAAGGCTCTCCTGAAGTGTCCCCACATTGCCAGCTGCTATGTGCCGCGGTCAACTGCGACGGAGCAGCCAAGTCAGCCTATCAACACCCTTCTCAAAAGGCTCAAGCGAACCTGGTCGCGGAGACAATGCAGAAGGCGAATGTCTATCCTGGGCAAGTGGACATGATTGAGTGCCATGGCACAGGGACACGAATAGGCGATCCCTGCGAAGTGGCCGCATTGTCAGAAGCTTTCCAAAGAAGAGATAGTCTCACACAGGGCAACTTCAAGGGTATTAGTGGCTTTGGAGCATGTACCAATGGTGCAACTGCCATCGGCAGTTGCAAAAGCAATTTCGGCCACACTGGAGCTGCCGCTGGAATCGTTGGCTTTATCAAGAGCTGTCTTTGCGTGAGCAAGTCCATAGTTCCAGCCACCTTGCACTGCCACCCTCCAAATGCCGATATTGACTTCGAAACATCTCCATTCTTCCTTGCGCAGGCAAGCTGCATGCAAAGTGTCCGCTTTGCTACCGGGGGCTAAGTTTCAGGAAGGTGTTGCAGCATGTGTTCATTGTGTTCATTTCATGACCAGGGATCGGGCTGTTTAGGGGTACAATCATCTTTAGTACCCAACAACGTTTGTCTCCTGTGAGGAGTTTGTGCCGGGCGCGCGGCTATCTGGGGTGAGCTCCTTTGGCCTGGGTGGCACAAACGCACATGCTTTGGTTCACGCACGTGTACAACCGCAAGTGGCGAGGCCCACTCAGAGAAACTAGGCTGCATAGACATATTGGAACGTAGCTCTGCCTGGCTTTTGGGGAAAGCAGCAAGACATGGCCTTTCTTCCGCACTGCTGAGGCAACTTCCGTCGTGAGGTCTTCTGGCATCCAGAAGCGCAGGGTGCAATCTTTGCAAACCACGGCTACGCGCAGGAAGAGTGCTCTCACCCATTTCTACAGCACGCTCCGTGGTGCAACAAACGTAGGATTTATGATTGCAAGGTAAGCCAGCCTGCCCATGAATGGCTTTGGCAGCATGCGCCACACGGAAAGGCAGTGTTTCCTGGAGCAGGGTGGGTTGAGCTGTTCATCACAGCGGCTTTGCGCGAGGGCTTTGGCGACGTGTGTTTGCGCCAGGTCTGGTTTGAAAGGCCGCTACCCCTGGCAGAAGAATGCCGCTTCCAGATCAGGGTTGAGCGCGCTGAAGCCGGCTTTGACCTGCGTGCAACAGGGCCAGACGGGGTGCCCACATTTGCACGTGCTTTTTTGCCTGCTAGCTTTGACAGAGCTGCCCGTGAATTTCCAAGCTCACCGCACGGTTTGAGAGAAGTTGACGTGACCTCAATTTATCACAATGCGGGGCAAGGCTATGGACCAGCTTTCCAAACAGTCAAGCAGATGGAAGCCGATGGTGACTTTGGTGTTGCCACTGTGGCAGGCTCCCTCCCTGCAGGCTTCTCCATCAGCCCAGCGCTGCTGGACGGGGCAATGCAGGTAATGCTGGGCAAGCACCGTGGTGCTGGGGAAGTTTGGCCCCAATCCATCCAGGCTATCTACTTCCACAACCACTACGATCAAGGGCCAACATCTAGTTGCACGGTTCAAGCCCAATGGAGTGCAGGGCGTGCCTTGAAGGGCTGCTTCTCATTGTGCTCCGGCGAGGCAGTGCTGCTGCAGGCAGAGGACTTGGTCTTTGCAGTGAGGAAGGAGGTGGACACGGACGGCTTGGTAGTTCAGCCTGCTTGGGAGGAGGTGCCAGCTCCAGACGCAGAAGTCCTCAGCACGCCTTTGCTGGCCCTCGTGCAGCAGGGTGGTCTGGGCGAAGCCTTGATGAGCGCGGCAGGGAGAGCTATCGACAGCTTGCCTGCCGCTCAGTCAATGTCTGCTCTTTACGGCCCCTGGGACTCAGAAAGTGAAGGGTCCAAAGCTTGCAACCTGATTTCAGAGATGAGCCGTCATAATCCTGAAGATTATCCATTGACCGTTTGGTACCTGTGGAGTCTTGACTGTGGCGGAGCTGGGGAGCTTTCGGAGGAGTTGGAGAGGTGCTGCCAATGCCTGTTGCTGCTGGTGCGTGGCCTGTTGCAGGGCCAGGCCAAGGTGGCCAGGCTTTTGGTGGTGACATCTGGCGCCACAGGCCTCAAGTCTCAAGTGCACCTCTCCCAGTCCGCCTTTGTGGGCCTGTGCCGGGCAATTCAACTGGAGTGCCCGCAGTTGCACTTGACTCATGTGGATCTCGAATTGCACCCATCA